TAGGAGCACAAAACACACCAAGAAAGCAAAGGGCCAACAACAAGATTTGTTTAACTCGCTTGGTTAAAAACAAAGCATCACATGACGGCAAGCATGCCACACCCACACCCCTTTAAGTCTGTTGAAATAATCTCAGTAGTTTACCATGTTGCAAGTGAAGAAAGTCATTTCAAAGGAGGCCAAAAATTTATTTTCAAAGGGCATAACATTCTAGCGCTTTTTAAATGTATGCATTTATACGTGCATGTACAGAGTAAGGATGAGACTGTGTTTTTTTAACCAGTTCCTCCTACGGCCCAAGCAATATATTGACAACAGTTTACTCCCAACACAGGTAGTGCCCTTCCTAGGCAGCATTTGCTGGCACTGCATCATATATTAAGGGGGGAAGGGAAATGAGGTTAATACATAAAGGAGTGGCAGGAGGTGTATAAAATTACAGATGGGTAATCACTACAAATTTAACTGGGGCTACTTGATAATAGCATTTGGTCCCAAGCTTGGGGTCCCAAGCAGTTCAGTTACTCTCTGAAAGGAGGGTTTCAGAGAGTAGCCTTGCTGAACCTTCCCCCCCCCCCAAAAGTATGACACATGAAAACTCCTGCACAGACCCAAAGTCAGAGCCTTGTACAGTTCCCGGGAACAGTCCTAAGCTGTGTGCTCATTTTGGAAGGCCACAGTTAAGAAATGCATAAGGAGTTTCCATTTGGGAGGTGGAACAGAGAAACACTGAGCCATGGTTTCTGTTTTCCGAGTGTGGTTCATGAACCTCAGCCTGAGAGGAAGCATAACACTAAGTAACAGATTCCATACAGAATGGTGCAATTTAGGCAATTGGAGAGACCTAAATTTTACTTTCTGTACCTGAGAGTAGATGGTCTTCTTTCAGACACACTCTCAATTTATACACAGTCTTCAATATAAACAGCCATAGCTGAGTGAATTCAGGAATTCCCCTTCCTTTCCCAGGGCCGCGGGGGGACTTCTCTCTTCTTTCCCCACGTGAGGACTCCATCTCTTCCCTGGGCCCCATTTCCTTGTTCAGTCCCTCTTCCTACTTTGCACAGTGAGGGCTGAAGTTAGTGAGTACAGAAATGTTTCCAAAGGGGAGGAGAAAGCAGAAGAAAGAAGAGAGAAGACTGTCCCTTTCAACCTTGTCTGCACTCCTGCCCTGTAGTCCTAGAGTGGTTTCTAGGAGCTGAGGGCATAGCTTGGCACATGGATGTCCCAGGAACGCATGATAGATACTCACCCCCTTAGTCCTTAAGACAGGCCGGTGGGACCTGAGGCTCCAGGGCCTGTTGCCTTTGCAATCTCCTCTGAGATGTTTTAGAGGGCAGCTAGGGCAGAGTAGAATCTAATGATGTACCTTGGTCTGATGGGCGTCACTGATCCCCCCTAAGATGCTGGCTGAGTGAGGCTAAAGCAGATCCCCCAGTAACTGCAGAATGACCCTGCTTACCATCAGGGCATCCAGGACTAGAGGAGTGTGGACAAAACCTGATAAGTCAGTGGCAGGGCTGGGGCATGAGGTGGGGATGCTGGTTCTACACTGAGAAAGTCTGCCCTGCCTCTTCATCTCCGCTGGATACTGCATCGTTCTGGCTGCACCCTTAGTGGTACCCACACTAACTGCTCTAATGATGCCTGCATATCAAAGCTTTGTCACCCTGAAATCTTCATTATGAAAAAGTTCAGTTATTTTTGAAATCCACTCCTATTATTATAAGAAACTGACCTATGTCAATGAAAGAAAAAAAAGAGAGCTACTACATTTTTAAAGTCTGCCTTCAACTGCTTAAAATTTAAGATAATACATTTTATATTTATTATGGACATATCTATTTAGCTTCTTGTCTGAAGGTGATTATAAGTATGATTCCTTGGGAGACTGAGGCAAGAGTATTAATTGAGCCCGGGAGTCGAGGCTGCAGTGAGCTAGGATTGCACCACTGCACTCCAACCTGGGTGACAGAGCAAGACCCTGTCTCTAAAATGAAAAATTTTTAAGTGGGAAGAGATCATTGCTCCAGCATCTTAATTAGCAAATGTGCACATGAGGCCTGCAGGAAAGTATCCAGGCATTGTTAATACTACTTTTTATATTACATGGCTGAATACTTCCAGCCTTCCAGAAAGTATTGCAGTATTGCGTGTGTGTGTGTGTGTGTGTGTGTGTATAAAACTATCTCAACATAAAGCAATATAGAAAAAAAGTCATACTAATGAAATCAGGCTCAGGTGTCTCTTAAAAATATCCAATTTCAAGCTTTATTCACATTCAGTATTATTTTCCTTCTATAATTTGTACTTTATTATTATTTTAAAATAGAAACATATTTTGCACTGATATATAGCAGCTCCTAATTTATTCCAGTCTATAAAATTCCACATTTTGTGAGTATGCAAAGACTGGAAGCCAGTGCCCTATATTATATTGACTAGCATAGAACCCCATTTCTGGTTACAGGTATTCATGGGTCAGTTGGGATTTTCAAACTGCAGATTATCAAGTCACAGGGTTTTCCCTACTTGTGAGTGCAGAAAGCCTTTTCCAGGTGAACTGAACCAGCTGCACCCCCATCTGCACCCCCATCTGCATTTTGTCTGCAAAGAGCTTCTAAGAAAGTTGTTTTGTAATGAACTTCAGAGTGACTTCTAGAATACCTCCCTATGTTTCTGCACACTCTGGCTCAGCGGGCTTCTGATGGGCAGGCTTGAAACTCACCTCTCTAGCATGATAGATTGTTTTTGTAGGCCTATGTCAAAAAACGGTGGGGTGGGGAGGAATTCAAGGAGTCCAAAAACCTTCTAATTTCCAGTTGTTCTCTGGCTTTTGGTCTCTTAGGGGACTCCAACTTCAATCTTTGTTAGACTTGAAACACATTTTAAAGTAAAACTTCCTAGTTCACCCCAACGAACGGAATCTGCTATTGCGTAAGTCAGGAGCGGCCCAAGAGAGACCCTGCTAGATCAGCTATTTCACCAGCTGCCTAAAACTCAGCTATATATGGGAGACCTCTATGTAGGAAGTAAGGCTAATACTTAGTTCCCAGCAGATTGGGTGTGGTTATAATGAGCTCATTCAGGGGAGGGGGGCGTGGTGCCATGATTCTATTTTTAGAATGCTTATAAAGTTCATCCTTTGTTGCCTAAATACAACAAATACGGGAGCGACTTCTCACGTTACAATTAGAAATAACCACCTGCTAACCTAGTTTCCAGCGAAAAGGCCAAAGGGGTGCTTTGAAATACTTGGGTTTCAGCTGAGACTGTGATAACCCGGTTTAGCGGGTGCCAAATTCCAGTGGGTCGCGTGCGGACCAGCTGGGCTTCTCCCCAGCCCCGGCGCGGGCTGCTTCTGGGGAGTCAGTGCTGCGGGGTGGGTGGGAGCTGCATTCCCTCCCTCCAATACCAGAAGGGCCCAGCCTCCGCAAAGGAGGTGCTTGGGACCTCCTGGAGATTTCAAGGGGCTGGCAAATATCGCGCCTCATCTAAGTCAACAGCACTCACCTATCTCTCACGTTGAAAATGATTCAGGCAAAGCGCCGAGTGAGTCAGTGGCCCTTGCTGTTTTGTATTTGCCAACTGGACCCAGAGCGAGGGCCTTACTTGTCACCCGAGCTGGCCTAAGTCCTCTTGTAATGGTCTTATTCCTTCTCTGGGTGGGAATAGCAATTCACTTTCCGCAAAAGAACCGCGGAGAGTTCCAGAGCCAGGCGGAGGCGGTTTTGAAATTGCAGAAAGGGAAAGAACGCGCCTGGGTATTGGAGAGAGCAAAACGCGCACCCAGAGTCAGGCTGAGTTTGAATGTGGGCTCGGCCTGGGAAGCCCAACGAAGGTCCCCGTCAGTAAAACAGAGGGGATGTCTACCTGATGTAAGTTAGCTCTCATGCTCTGTCTGGGCTGTCTTGCAAAACGCCTGGCTCTTCCGAGGTGCTAGAAACGGGAGAGGAATGCGGGGAGGGGGCGGGGGTTGAGTTGCAATTACGCAGGTATTGAGAATGCCCCCCAGAGAGGATTTCGCGGGGTGGGGAGGGAGGTGCTTCTCCCTAGAACTCTCTTCCGGTTTCACCTGGAGCGAGCGCTTTCCACTCCAGAAGGAAAACCCCAGATTAGCGGATGGGGCTCAGGGTTAGGCGGAAGAGATCGGTAACAGGTACACTTGGTAATGAGGCGGGGTCACAAAATGCCCAGTTCCAATGAAGACCGTAAAGAAAAAAACCAGGTTCTGCTGGCAGAGTGCACAGGTCCCCTCCGGTGCTCAACCTCCAGGCTCCAGGCCCACCTGGCGCCAGCCTCTCCCACCCACATCTTTCAACCCGAGCCGGTGTGTGCGGATCACGGGTCACCGCGCTATTTGTGCAAGGACCTGAACCGAACTCTGGGCGGGCCGCGGCCGCGCTACCCGAAATTGGATGAATGGACGCGGTTCCGAGAAGCCGGAGCTGCCGGTGCTTCCCGTAGCTCAGCTGAGAGCACGCGGCGCCTCTGTCCCCCCCCGGGAGTAGGGCCCAAGGACAAAGTTCTCGCAGACGCCCTGGAACGTGCTATCCCCGCCAGAGCCTGGGACACCAGAGTAAGGCCGGAGGGAGGGAGCAGACTAGGATACATGATCTTCCCACGGGACCGGGCAAGGGCACGGTCACCGTTTCCAACTCCGCCATTAGTACGTTCTCCGTCACCAGTTCCGGGGGGGAAACTCATCGGTGTCCCAGACCCTCGACTGCGGCTGTGGCTGCTGTCCTGCACCCCAGTCCGCCCGCCCCCCGCCCACGCCGTGCGGGTCCAGACTCTCGCACCCTCCCGGCGCAACGCTCGGCTCCTCCCGGTCCCGCCTTCTCCGCCTGGCACCCCGAGAGCAACTGGGGGAGGGCGGAATTTCCCAGTGGGGGGGGGGGCTCCGGCTTCCCCTGCCACTGGCCAGTCTCTTTCTGTTTACGGAGAGAAAGGGGAAATGGAAAAGGCGGGGAGGCGGCGGCTGGCCTCGGCTGCGCCGCCCCTGGGCTGGCTCAGACGCCGTGAGTCAGGGGCCGACCAGGGCGGTCTATGCGCGCGGGCGGCCCGGGGCTCACTTGTCTGCTCGGCTACGGAGGACACGCCACGCTCTGGGGCCTGTCGCCCTGGCTCCCGCTCCTGCCGCCGCCGGACTCCGGTGGCTCGGCGCGCCCGGCTCCCGAGGGCCAGCCACCAGCTGCGCTCCGAGTCGTCGGGGGGTCGCTGCTGGAGCTCTCGGCCTGCGGGGCAACGCGGAGGCCACAGGTAACCCAGAGTTTCAGGGGTCGGGAGTATCTTTCGGATCGTGCGCCACATGGATGCCCTGGGGGTTCCCACCCAGAACTGGAGGGTGCCCCTAGCAGAGGGGAGAACTCCCGGGCCAAGGGAGGTGGGGGCGTGCCTGGGGCCAGCGCAGTGGTGCTCGTGTCGGTCGCGCTGGTAGCTGGCTGCAGCCGGGCACAGCTGGAAAGCACCTTGCGCAAGGGTCTCACGGGTTGCAGACTCCTCCTTCTTCCTTGTACTTCCCGGATCCCCAGCGCCCGGGCAGTGTCAGTCTGGGCAGTGCGCGGGTCAGCAGGGACCCACTGCTGCTGTCACCGGGCGTCCCGCCGCAGACGCCACGGGACGGCTGCATTCTCGCTGCCGAGCCTCGGTGAGTGCAGCTTGGAGGCTGGAAAGACCCGCCCAAACGATAGGTGCTTTTATAACATTGGAGCCTTTAAGGTTCCCTTGGCTTTGGGGGCCGGGAGGGAGTTGGGCTGTGGATTGCTGGAGCAGAGAGCCTTTGAATAGTTGAAAGTTAATGTCATGTTTATAACCCGGACTCTATTCTGTGATTAAAGGGTGATCATAGCAGAACACGAAAAGGGGACTTTTGGTCGAAGAGAGATTTTTTTTTTTGCAGTGATAATGTGATGTTGAGATTCCGGAACGTTTCTAACTCTGGGTAGAGAATTAAGATTAGAAAGAAATATAGAACCCCCAGGGATTGTCCCTAAGGTTAACAGGGGGAGGCCGCTAACTGTCTTTACTTGAAATGTTGCAATGTGGTCTGTTTCGCTTTGGGGAGGGATAAAAGTCAGCTTGCTCTTGATAAAAACAGGGGGAGACACGCTAAAGCAGCTTCTCACACCTGAGTCGCATTTGCCAAGTTAAGGTATAACAATCCAACTCTCTGGATGGACTGAGGTTTGTGTGCATTTTCTTTTCCGGGAGATGGCCTTTGGGGACTTTGTCTGGTACTGAGAATTAAATAATTGAGGCATCTAAAGATATTGAAGCAGAATGGCAACGCTTCCGTGTGGCTGCCATGCATCATACATGGGCTTTTTGAGACCAAAAATATAACAAGAGTTGTGTCCTGAGAGTTAATATACTATGTTGGAAAAAAAAAATCTTTTAAATGGGCAGTAACGAGAGGTATAAGCATCCTTTGGTCAGCTGAAGTGTAAGCCTGTGCTATGAAGCCGCTTCCATACACCAGGGAACACTCAAATCTCATGTAGCCAAAAGTATTCAGTTCATGTTTAGGATTAGAATTATCTTGTGATTTTATTACTGGTTTCTGAAATAATTTGAGGTAAACAATTTTGACTGATTTGCACATCTATTTCTAAAATTGGTGTCATTTTCTGTTCTGTTAGACAGCCAGCGGCCTCCCCCTGTTAACTTTAGGGACAATCCCTGGGGGTTCTATATTTGCTTTATTGCTAAATAAGAATACCTTCTTCACCAGCCTCACTTTTTCTGTATAGGTACGGGTCATGGATCACTTAGACACCATTAGCATGCTGTCTCCTTAATTAAGACCCCGGATAGTGCTCCAGCTTTCTGTAGGAGCATTTAGCAGGCAGATTGGTCAGGGAGGTTGCCGGGGAGAACAGATTGGTGTGATAGGAGCCCAGTGTTGCTAAGGAATTAATGTGGGCCCTGAGGAAAGTGTTAGTGTCAAACACTCCTCCACCTCCCCTGTTGTTGTTCTTCCCTCCCTTCCCTCTTTCCCAGCAACTGGCAGTTTAGGGGTGTGTGTGTGTGTGTGTGTGTGTGCGTGTGCACATGCGCCTGCTCTTAGATTCTACATATAAATGCTTTGAGACTTTCTGCAGAATTTAAAAACCCAAATCAGTCTTTCTGTCTGAATCAGCTTTGTAAATTTGAACTGTGCGGACTATTTCCCTCTCTTTGAGTCATGTTAGTACCAGGACCTTTATTTTCTGTGAAGTCATCCATTTGATAAATAACCTGGATCCGTTCAGCCAGTGGGCTCCCAAAGTGGGCTGCTTTTAACTTCTGTTTTCCCCGTAAGTTTTACAAGCAGAAACTGCCACTAACTAGCTCAGTGAAACCAGAGTCAAAGGTTCCTCCATTAACCTAAGAAGTTCCTTTCCTAACTCAAGACACCAAGAACCCAAATCACAATCTCCTTGAAAGATGTGTGAGATCTCTCTGTGGGGAGCTGCAGCTCCCACTGTAGATTTAAGGGTGGTGATAACAGTCATCAAAGCATTTCATAGGTTTCTGCCTCCCTCGACTCTTTGTATCTTATTTTAGATACAATCTTTAAGTTTGCTGTGAAGCAGGAGGCGGGGAATAGGTAGCCACATCCCATTTGCAGATAAGAAAAGAGGCTAATTCAGTATATGCAAAACCAGGGATCTGACTCAGTACTTCTCCCTTTCCTGCACATAAACCAACTGCAAATGACACAGCTTATTCACTGTGCACCAGACACTGCCCCAGGCACTGTGCTTGAACTAGTCTGATCCTCAGGACCACCCCGAGAACACCTCCGTTTCAGAGACAAGGACATTGAGGTATAGAGAGGTTACTTGCTCAACATCATGCAGCCAGTGAATGAGGAGGCTGAGATTTGATTCCAATCTTGAGACTAGAGGAATGTTGAAGTGCAGGATGGATGCTAGACTGTTTTGCTCAGAAGCAATTTGCACATCAGCAAATGACCATCTAGTAAGTTAGTGATGGAACTACATGGCATGGTTCTTTGCCAAGTGAATTTGACTCTGAGGGGGAAGGCTGGGTCTTGCGTGCAGGTGGTCCTGTGGTCGGACATTTCCTGGAACTCTGAGCCCAAGCTCCAACTTGATCAGAGGTGTGTGGCTTTAGCGCTGAGTTTTGCGTGTGTTCAAGGCTTGTGATTTTAAGGACCTAAAATAGCTTTGTGGAGAGAGGCCGTGCTTTCAGGAGTACAAGGGTTTACGTAGATAAGCTGTGCTTCAGAATTCTCTTACATCTCTTAGATGTTTTATATTTTCTGCTCTGGAACGGAGTTGTTCTAAAGCCCTGAGTGGCACTTTTTATTTTTTGCATTACTTTCTTTCTCTCACCTACAGGTCCCCAAGTGTGGCATAGAGACTTGGTTTGCATGTAAGAACTGAAGTGTAGTTTTTGCTAATATATTCAGTGGTCCTACCCACATCTTGCTTACGGCATATTCGGCTCTCTTGCTCTTTTTCTACTACTCACAGCTTCTAGAGCAGAGGTTCTCAACCTGTGGGTCGCCACCCCTTTTTAACAATGAAAATACATGGCGGCATTAGGAAGGTGGAGAACTACTATTCTAGAGAATCATTTGTATATAGATATTAATCTTCTGGCCCTTCAAGATGTTAGTTTATACTATTAAAGAATTTTGGTCTCAGGAGGGGACAGCTGAATCATAGGTTAAATCATACTTGTCAGTGGCCGAACTGGGATCTGAGGCTCTCTGGCTTCCTCCCAATGAGCTGTTTAACTCATTTACATCACAATTATTCGTGACACTTGATCCGGAACCACTTGAACTCCTGTGCCCCTCCTCCTCATCGTAATTGCTTAGATTGAAACCCCTTTTGCGTGTTTTCTGTCTTTCAGAGCTTGAATTTTATTTGCCAGATTAGCTCTGGAATTTAGTAAAGTGGTTCTTTTTCTCTTAAAGTCACCAAAGACCAAGAAAGCCAGAGTGATTCTTGCAGAGAACAGCTGGGTTGTGCAAGGTTGAAAGCGGTGAAGAGTCAGAAGCCCGAGCTCTTCGCAGATTCCTGAGCTGGTCTTTCTTCCTATTTGTGTTTAGTGAAAGTTTGTTTTCAGAGGCTGTAGCTGGTGCCACCACTCTGTGAGTAAGAGCAAGCTCTCTGCGACTCAGATTTCCCCTCTGCAAAGTGAGCTGGACTGAAGGTTATCTCAGGTCCCTTTCAACTCTGCACTGTCAACTTGAATTCACACACACAGTTAACACAGAGCCCTCATTTCCTACCTCCAGGGGGGGCAGAAACCTAGCCTGAATCCTTGTATGTCAGTTTCCCATTGGTCTTGAAAGCCAATACAAACATCCTAAACTAAGCATTTGTGTTTTCTTTTGTAGACTCTGCAGAAATTGCAACAGTGATGGAGTACATGAGCACTGGCAGTGACAATAAAGAAGAAATTGATTTACTGCTTAATCATCTCAACATGTCCGATGTGATAGACATTATGGAAAATCTTTATGCAAGTGAAGAGCCAGCAGTTTACGAACCTGGTCTGATGACCTTATGTCAAGACAGTAACCAAAATGAGGAGCGGTCGGAGTCTCTGCTGCTTAGTGGCCAAGAGGTGCCTTGCTTGTCATCGGTCAGATACGGAACCGTGGAGGATTTGCTTGCCTTTGCAAACCATATATCCAATACTGCAAAGCATTTTTATGGACACCGACCACAAGAATCTGGGATTTTATTAAATATGGTATGTTTTTCCTGCCCAACTGAGTGCTAGGTGCCCAGCTTTACTAACTCAGCTTCATTTAATGCAGAATGGCATTTGAACTTGGTTTAGATTGGCTGCCAGGTATGAGGTTAAAACACATAATTATCCGTAAGAATCACCTCCATGTTAAAGATACAAAGTCCTCATCAAAAGTTCCATTCAAAGAATTCTGCCAGTAGTAGTTCTATAAATAGGTAATTAAGAGAAATGTATTTTATTTACTTATTTTAAAAAAATTTGTTTTAATTTTTATTGTTTTAAGATAGAGTCTTACTTTGTCACCCTTGGTAGAGTGTTGTGGCATCACAGCTCACAGCAACCTCAAATTCTTGGGCTCAAGTAATTCTTTTGCTTCAGCTTCCTGAATAGCTGGGACTACAGGTGCCCATCACAATGCCCGGCTATTTTTTTTTAGAGATGAAGTTTTACTCTGGCTCAGGCTGATCTTGAACTCATGAGTTCAGGAGATCCACCCACTCCTCTGCCTCCCAGAGTGCTAGGATTACAGGCATGAGCCACTGTGCCCAGCCTTGAGAAATGTATTTTAATAATTCCCTTAAAAGCTCATTCATCAGTTGTGCAGAAGAGAAAGGCTTAATGAAAATACTTCATCTGAGAGGGGAATAAACACTTTGTCTCTAATTAATGTTCATGAATTATTTGTTCTTTTCTTGTTGCATCTTGAAATGTCCTAACATTAATGCTGGCTATTATAAAGTTCTTTAAAAAATGCAGTTTGTAGGGAGTAAATAGCTATCCACAAATTCTCTCTCTTTAATTGGCAAGGTATGAATGACAAATGAACATTTGCTTAGTCATCCCAAGTATGCAAATAATCCAAAACATTGTGGCAACACTTAGTTGCCACAATAGTAGATCAGGTGATGTTTTTAGGTGTGTCTGCAATTCGGTCAGATTTTAGTATGTCATAGGTGAATACAGGAGCTAGGTAAAGGCAGTCTAATTTTTTTTTTTTTTTTTTTTTGAGGTAGAGTCTCACTATATCACCCTTAGTAGAGTGCTGTGGTGTCACAGCTCATAGCAACCTCAAACTCCAGGGCCCAAGTGATTCTCCTGCCCCAGTCCCCCAAGTAGCTGGGACTACAGGCACCCACCACAATGCCCAGCCATTGTTTTGGCTGTAGTTGTCATTGTTGTTTGGAAGGCCCAGGCTGGGTTTGAACCCGCCAGCTCCAGTGAATGTGGCTGGTGCCCTAGCTGCTGCGCTACAGGTGCAGAGCTGGTAATCTAATTTTTTTTTTAAGAAGAACGCTTGCAAAAGAGTAAGTGGTAGGTTACAAAATGTATTTATGGATGAAAGTGACACCCTTTTCTTCAGTATCATGTATCTGAAGGGCAAAATGGCTACTATTGAAACTCAGGGTTAAATGAGTAAAGAGTTGAAACACAGTACTTGATTATGTTTTGTTTCTGCATACCACATTCTTTTAATTAGAAACAACACAGTAATGTAGGTCAGCTATGTGGTGAATTGTTTTGGTAGAAGCCAGTTGCCTTCAACTATAGCTCGGTATGAAACAAGATTACCTTTTGTATTGTTGTGTGATCTGCTCTGGTATGGATAGGCCAGGCTGTATTTAATAGTTGCCTAAGTACTTCACATGCAGAATATTACTTCCTTTTATAAATGGGAAATAGTAATTTGAATAAGGAGCAAATTTTGGTTGTCTTAGCTAAAGGGTAGCTGGAAAAGGCTGGTTCAAAGTAATGTATGTGTCTACAGTGAGAAATGTAATTTTACATTCCTCTCATTTTCTACATAATTTATTTGTTTGATTGAGTATCTGACGTGAAAAATTACCAAAGAAACAAATGATTGTTACTTGTGAATATTTATTTAAGGATATTTGGCCAATCCCGTGGAGTTGATGAGACGTGGGCTGTAGAACCACGCTGACGATGTATAGTATAGAGGATTGAACATCATATAACAGTCACCAGTTTCAGAGCTCATCTGAGGACTTGCTGAGAACAAGACAATTTCCTGGCAAGCCTTGAAATCTCTTGTGACTTGGAAGGCAAGCCACCAAATCACTCAGTAATCCCAGAGGAGTTAAGATCAGTCCTGTAGTAGTAAGGCTGAGTACAGAAAGAAATTCCGGGCAATTATAAGAAATACAAAGAAATAGCTTCTTGCAGTTTTTAAGAAATAGGATCAGAAAAGCTAATGAAGAAAGAGAGAGAAACGAAGGGCCACCTGTGGCTCAAGGAGTAGGGCGCCAGCTGCCTATACCGGAGGTGGTGGGTTCAAAACCGGTCCCAGCCAAAAACTGCAAAAAAAAAAAAAAAAGAAAAAAAGAAAAAAAAAGGTAGAGGAAATTTTATCAGCAAAGGGTAAGAGTAAATGTTGTCATTACTCTCCACAAAGCCTATGGTCTGTAAATGAACATGAACAAGTGTAGAATTAAGGAGAAAATTTAAGAATAAGATATATCATAAGATCAGGGCTCTTGAAAATGTAAAAAAAATTTTACTTTAAAATCATCAGGAATATAAAATATAAAACAAGAAAACTAAAAAACGATGGAATAAGAGGAGGGCCTTACAATCCCCAGGAAGATAGACCTGGCGTCTCTAGGCAAATCAACCTAGTGGTCGATGGCTCTAAGGTGCCTGGGCATGCGGCTCAGCTCTAGGGTTGACTTTCCTGTCACTGACATTGAAGAGCAGACACATCCCTACAACCTCTAGTAACCCATCATAGCATAAATTATGGCCGAGGAATTGGGATTGTCATCTGTAATCATAGCCAATCTGAGACAAGACGGTGAAGGAGGCAAGGCTTGCTTTTGACTTCTGTTTCTCCTCAGTGATGCTCTTGGGACCATCGTCCTGGGCTCAAGACCTTTCTCTTCCCATCATCCTCCACCTGCTGCCCTAAAACACGTAACTTTTCTGGGTTTCATTAGTCCCTGTCTGTCTCTTGCCTTTGGATATAACAGTTGATGATCCCAGACAGATTGATTCCAAGGTAAAATCCATTTGTACAATGTATCTATACGAGGAGGAAAACCTTTCATTGGAGTGTCCACCGGCTCATTTGATAGCACATTTACAGCATATCAAGTCATTTTCCAGGTGCTCGTGACACAGTGGTGGACAGTCTGTGCCTTGGTGAGCTTACTGCCTGGTGCATGTGGGAGGGAAGTGGAAGACAATTATAGGCTGGACAAGTGGCTTACACCTGTAATCCTAGCACTCCGGGAGGCCCAGGTGGAAAGATTCCTTGAGCTGAGAAGTTCAAGACCACCCTGATCAAAAGCCAGGCCAGTTTCTACTAAAAATAGAAAAATTAGTTGGCTGTCATGGAGGGCACTTGTAGTCCCAGCTACTCGGGAAGCTGAGACCGAAGGATTGCTTGAACCCAAGAGTTTGAGGTTGCGGTGAGCTAGGGTGACACCATGGTGCTCTAGCCTAGATAACAGAGTGTGACTCTGTCTCATGAAAGAAAGGTAGGAAGGAAGGAAGGAAGGAAGAGAAAAAAAAGAAGAAAAGGCAATTGTAATTCAGCCTGCTACTATTGCTTTGAGGATGCTGAGGACTGCATCGTACAGCCAACAGCATGGGTAGAAGGAAGGGAGGATGTCAGCACAGGCCTCCAGGAAGGGTTTGATGCCTAAGCTGAGGTGTGAAACATTGACTTGGACTCAGCCAGATGAAATAAGGAGCGTTCCAAAGGAAGAGAACAGCGTGTGCTGGGGCCTGGAGGCATAGAGACCTGTTGTGTTCAGGCGGCCAACAGCCACAACACCATAGAGTTAATTAGACAGGGTGGAGAACCAGGAGTTACAAAAATATCCTGAAGCAGAGGGATGGTGGATGGAAGTGTTTGTGTGTGTGAGTGTATGTTATTTCCCTAAAAGTAACGTTTGTTAAAGATCCTGCTGTCATCCAGCAAGGGGGCTGGGGAGGGGCAGAGAAACTTTAGGAGGAATGGCCTTGTGTAAGCGTGCTACAAGCAATTTATAATCTGTGCCATTTCATGACCTGATCTGGGGATGAATAAGCTAAACTTGGTTCCTAACGCTCAACTCTTCAGTGGTTTTATGGAGAACTGAAAGCCCCTTGAAGGATTTACTCAACAGCGGTGGGTGTGAGATGCTGAAGATTTGTTTTGGGGGGTTAGTCACGGAGTCATGGATTCTCCACCATCTTCTTTTAAGGTTGAAAAAAACCCTCAAAGATACTTGAGGCCAACCCTCTGTCTGCTACTCCATTCACCCCATTCATCTTGTCCAGTAACTGGTGGAGGAGTTTGGTTTCTGCTTGAGAGTCTGGGATCAGGAGCTCATCACATACTGGAGCATTGAGTTCCAAACTGGTTCAATTCTGATCCTACGAAAATTCCTCCTTATATGGAACTAAAATCCATCTCTGACCTACTTTTTTGGCTATAAAAATGGTGTATCTAATGAAAAGAGATGAAGAATGCAGGCTGTGGCTGGAAGTGCCTGCCTTGGTATGTGGCTCACTCTGAAATGGATTAGCTGTGTCATGTTAGGCTGGTTATTTCTCTCCTGTTGGCCTCAGTTTACTCTTCAATGAAATGGGTCATATTTGTTTCCAACAACCACCTTACTCTGTAGGGTGGGAAACAAAAAGTAAACACATTTGCAGTGTGTGCCCTGCTCACACAAGTGTTTAATGAATATGAGCCATTGTGTAGTTGTTGTTGTATACAAGTGTTCTTTCTTTTCATTACAACAGTCCTTCCAATATTTTTTTTTAAATTGCATGTTCCCTAGATCTTCTCTCTCCATTCACGAACATTTCTAACCATGGCTGCTACTCCTCATGCGTTGCGATCATTCCTCAGCCCGGTGGTAGAGCCCTCTGAACTCAAGCCTGTAGCAGTGGCTGTCTGCAAGCCCAGAATTTGAATGGGGATACATTCGTTGTGACTAGCAGAGCAGGAAAGAGCTAGCTTTGCATTTGTTCTGGATAGTATGTATATGTTAATGGTACCCTGGATCACATCTGTTTGGTAGCAGGTCTCTTGCGGAATTTATCCTTACTAATATCTAAGAATTTTTCTTCATGGCTGCTCCTGGGCCCCATTTAGTACAGATGACAGTGCTCTGGGTGAGGAAATAGGAAGTGTGTTTATAATATTTGCATTTAAAGATGACTTTGGTTAAGTTGAAAAAATGGCAGATACGAACATAGAATCCCCTAGATTGTTTGCTAGGGCTCCTACAAAGAAGAAGAGGAGGAAGGAGAAGGAGATAGAGAAAGAAGAATCTCAAATCCAAATAGGAATGGTCTGTGGCTAAAGGAAGAACCAGGGACTTTGCAGAACTGCAAGCCATCAGGAGTGGCCCATCACACTGGAAGTTCAGGTCCTATCAAAGGAGCCATGGAAAAATCATGGGGCATTCAGAGGAGGGTCCCCAGAATGCAAAGTTGTACAGCGGGGGGGAGGCAACTTGCAGAATTTCATCTAAATAGGTAAACATATAAACACCTGGGTTATAGTAACCTTGCTTTTAATACTGGGTTTTCATCCTAGCTTGACTTTAATTGTAGCCTAACAGAAGATAAAAGGCTCTTATCCCAGGACTAGGAGCTCTGGGGTCAGACACACCTGAGTTCGAATCCTAGCTCTGACACCAACCAGCAAGTTACTTAACCTCTTGTGTCAGTTTCTTTGTCTATGAAATGGAGATAAGCATAATACTTAGCTCTGGAGGTTTGTTGTACGTTTCGATAAGATGACGTATTAAGATTCTGAACACAGTGTGGTGATTAGCTTTCAACATATGGCCACTATTATTAACCTTGGTCCTCTTGGATAGAGTAGGAGCATACTGGGTCAAGTGGGGTTGTAACAAATTTAGGTTGGGTAAAACTTTGGTGAAAGAGATGTAAACACCGAGACAGTTAACAAGATCGTGTGCTGAAGTTGGGTCTATAAATCTTTACTACCAAGAAAGGGGTAGAAAACTAGAGTGATTATTGAGTGTCATGAGAAAGATTCTGTCCCAACATGAACAGGGACCAAATTCACTACTCCTTCAGCTGCTGCAAAAGAGGCCTCCAGCCATCAGAGGTGACACACTTTTTGAAAGAAGGTTGTATTTCAAACAAAGCAAAACTGGGATCTGTATTTATTCATGTTCTCTCTGGGTCCCACACTGCAGAAGCACTCTGTAAATATTTAATTGTTAAACTGAGTGACTTCACATTTCTAAGCACTGAAGTTATTCTCTGCTTCATTCCCTGACTAATACTGAACACATCTGTTCGTGAGATGTGTGGCTAAAATTAGCCGTGAGCTGAATGAATGGGCCTTACGGTTGCTAGAACTATTCCCGTAGCCACAGCCCAAGTGAGGAGTTTCGTGCCTCTGCACGGGAATCAGGAGTTCATTCTTTTCCCGTGTGGTGGATCTGGGAATTTGTCACATTCCCCTGCAGCTTCTTCTGTACTTGAAATAAATCAAGTTCTCCACTCCTTCATCCAGGCTGGAGTGCAGTGGTGTCATCACAGCTCACTGTAACCTCAAACTCCTGGGCTCAAGGGAATCTCTGGTCTCAGTCTCCTAAGTAGCTGGGACTATAGTCACATGCCACCATACCTGGCTATTTATTTACTTATTTATTTTTGGCAGAAATGAGTCTCAACTGTGTTGCTAGTCTTTTTTTTTTTTTTTGAGGCAGAGTGTCACTCAGTAACCCTTGGTACAGTCCTGTGGCATCTTAGCTCACAGCAACCTCAAACTCCTGGGTTCAGTGATCCTCTTGCCTCAGCCTCCCAAGTAGCTGGGACTATAGGAACCCGCCACAATCCCACCCCTATTTTTTAGAGACAGGGTCTCACTCTGGCTTAGGCTGGTCTCACCTGTGAGCTCAGGCAGTCCACCCTCCCTGGCCTCCCAAGTGCTGGGATTACAGGCGTCAGCCACCTTGCCCAGCCTGTGTTGCTAGTCTTAAATTCCTGACCTTAATTTATCCCCCTCCCAAACTCATCTTCCCTACGTGCTGGGATTACAGGCATGAGCCACCAAGCTTGCCCCTTTGATAGTTTTATAATTTCTGAATTCATAATCTGAAGTTGTACTAATCACAATTAGGAAAAGCTGATATTCCTGAGATTTTTTATCCCTTGAAAGAAGACTTTAGACAGTCTGTAGGCACATATTTCAGATTATATTTTCTGTGGACTCCCGTATTAATTTGTTGTAAACTTAATTATATATATTTTACCTTTTAATTTTTTCTCTCCTTAAAAATCAAGGTGTGCTTTATATACAGTAAAATACACAGATCTTAAGTGTGCAATTTGATGAGTTTTCACAGATGCATACACCCCTATAATCCATATTGCTATTAGAATGTAGCAGATCTCTTATTTTGAGTTGACTGGTTTTGAACCTCTAAGTGTCTTCTTGCTTGTGAACTCTTGGAGGTCAAGGTCGCCTGTCTCATGTTCATGGCAGGCTCCTCCACCATGCACAGCGCCTGGCTCCTGTTATGCACGCAATGGATATTAGATGAGAAACAATTCTGCCTTTACTTTATTTACATAGCATTGTCAACTCATAGGTCTGGCATAACACATTGTTTTCCAAAATCTTTCGTGATCCTTGGTTAATTTCCATGCTCTCTCTGGATGCATCATAGGTGAGTAACAGCTATGCAGACTGACAGGTTAGCACATTTTAATAGAAGCAAGTCAACCAGCAGGCACGGTTTGTATTTATGCAATCTTTATTTTCAGCCCTTTGGTCGCTGTAGTCATGCTCCCTTAGATAAATAGTTTTTAAAGTTCTATTTGGCAATGAATTACTCATGAGTAGATGGAAATGCGATCAGGTCTGCCCAGGGATGTGTGTATCTGTTACATACTTTCTCTGACTTGCTCAAGGTCTAAATATAGTCTCCGTACCATGTTACAATTATGCAGTGACATGAATTTCAAGCGCCGTGTATAAAAATGTTTCTAAAACAACCGGTTTCCAAATAGAGGGGAGGGTTTTAGAAAAAGCTCACTTCACTGAAATTCTGACCCTCTTGCGTTTTTATTTTGTCATAGGTCATCACTCCCCAGAATGGGCGCTACCAAATAGACTCTGATGTTCTCCTGATCCCTTGGAAACTGACCTACAGGAATATTGGCTCCGATTTCATTCCTCGAGGGGCCTTTGGAAAAGTATACTTAGCGCAAGATATAAAGACCAAGAAAAGGATGGCTTGTAAGCTGGTATGTGTTCTCTAACCAGGCAACCTGCACCGCGTTTTTCCATTCTGATTTGTGTGTGTTGGTTCATCTCCGTTAACCAAAGGTCCTCACCCTTCAACGGGATCTTATCTGAGGGTGCTTTGCCCCAAAGCATTTGTTTCTCTGGATTTGTATGGTACCTGGGGGCCATTCAGCTCCTAAATCTCTACTTTAAAAGGAGCGTGGTTGACTTTAATCCAGAGGATTAAAAGGAAAGTGCTTATATAGCACTGACTTGGAATGTGGAGGGGAGTGATCCTGTAATGTAAGAGCAAATTCCACTCACTGGGGAAGGGGGCCTGGCAGAGAAGCTGGAACTGGGAAGGAGGACAGCTTCTTAGGGCTGCAGATTGAAAGAGCTGAACTGAAATAACACCAATTATCAAAAAGAGCCCATTCTTTCTTAGTAAACAATAACTCCTGAGGTGCTGCCACTTTGGAAAACTGTGTCTACCTGCACTGAGCCTTTATACACCCTGTGACCCAAAAGTTCGCCTCCTGCACATGTACACAACAGAGGCATGGCTACGTGGTCACCCAAAACTAGAAGCCGTGGACTTACATACTGGCATGTTCATGTCAGCACTATTTGTAACTTGAAAATTCCCAGATGCTAGAATAGGATGTATTTACCCAGTAGAATATCGGATACGTGATTTCCAGCTAGAATAGTGTAGGTGAATCTTATAACCCTTACATTGTTGATCCAGAGCAGTCAGACACAAAATAAGACCTATTGTATGAGAGTCCTTTTATGTAAAGGATGAAAACAGGCAAAGCGAATTATTTGTCCATTCAGTTGATAATTCATTGAGTTTGACACCCTCATTATATTTTTATGTATGTCTATTTTTCTTTAATTCAATTTGTTTGTTTATTTATTTATTTATTTTTTGAGATAGAGTCTCACTCTTTCACCCTGGGTAAAGTCCAGTGGCGGCATCATAGCTCGCAGCAACCTCGTTCTCTTGGGCTCATGTGATCTTCTTGCCTCAGCCTTTCCAATAGCTGGGACTACAGGCACCCACCACGAAGCCCAGCTAGTGTTTCTACTTTCTTTTTTTTGAGACAGAGTCTTAAGCTGTCACCCTGGGTAGAGTGCTGTGGCATCACAGCTCATAGCAACCTCCAGACTCTCGGGCTTAAGCGATTCTCTTGCCTCAGCCTCCCAAGTAGCTGGGACTATAGGCGCCTGCTACAACTTCAAGCAATTTTTTGTTGTTGTTGAAATTGTCATTGTTGTTTTAGCTGGCCCAGGCTGGGTCCGAACCCACCAGCCTTGGTCCGAACCCACCAGCCTTGGTGTATATGGCTGGCACCCTACCCACTGAGCTACAGGGGCTGCAAAGTGTTTTTACTTTTTTAGTAGAGATAGGGTTTTGCTCTTGTTCAGGTTGGTCTCAAACTCCTGAGCTTAAGCAATCTACCTGCCTTAGCCTCCCAGAGTGCTAAGATTACAGGTGTGAGCCACCACGCCCTGCCTTTAATTAAATCTATTAAAAGAACAACCAACTAAAATACACCCACTTTCCACTTAACAAAAATAAGAAATAATTGCTGAATAGGATGTCTCATTCTTTCATCATAATTAAAAGACCAACAATATGTCAGCCTCACTTATTCTTTCATAAAGATTTGCCTGAGTATCTGTTCTTATAAGGGAAGATACAAGGAGAGTTGTAGGAAACCTTTTGAAGCTGATATTTAGCAGGGGTGTCCAACTTGTGCCTGTGGTCCACTTGTGGATTTTTGGAGGACTGTTTCTCTCATCTGTGGTGTCAGATATCTTGAAAACTATACGTGAACAGTTTTGCTCACCAGCTACCATTAGTGCTTGTGTATTTCATGTGTAGTCTGAGACAACTCTAATGCTTCTGATTTTCAGCAGAGGGGGGCAAACAAAAGGGTAGAATCCCTGATCTAGAAGATATGTGTTCAAATTGTTTAAAAAATATCTGGGGACATTGTGCAAAGATTCAGAACCACAGTGTCCTGTTTTTCAGTCTCATCCCCCAGAGCCAGAGAACATAGCTTGGTGGGTTTGTTTTCCTTGTCCTGTATTCAATTTTTTTCTTAAAAGAAGAAAATCAGGCTCGGCGCCTGTGGCTCAAGTGGCTAAGGTGCCAGCCACTTATACCTAAGGTGGCAGGTTCGAATCCAGCCCAATCCAGTTCCAATCTGCCAAAACAACAATGACGGCTGCAACCAAAAAATAGCCAGGCATTGTGGCAGGCGCCTGTGGTCCCAGCTACTTGGGAGGCTGAGGCAGGAGACTCGCTTGAGCCCAGGAGTTAGAGGTTGCTGTGAGCTATGATGCCACAGCACTCTACCCAGGGGGACAGCTTGAGGCTCTGTCTCAAAAAAAAAGAAAGAAAAGAAAATTATATAGGTGTCAAAACCCTCAAACACATTCAAAAGGATGGAGGCTGAAGAATAAGATTCCCTGGCCTTGAGGCAACTACCGTAAATGGGTTCTTATGTATTTATCACAGACATTTCTTTGCAAATGTGTGTGTTCAGTTTGAAAAGTTTTTACAAATGGAAACACAAAACGTGTACTTCTGCAGCCTGCTCTTCTCACCTCGCGCTATATTTTGGAGACCTCTCCAAGTTTGCTGGTCCTGAAAGTGCGACTTCTGTCTTTATTAATAACTGTCTGGGTTTTCGGGGAATGAAGGGCTTACAGGTGCTTATTTTAAGTGCATTGCTAAAGCATGAACTGTGGGGCCAGAGACGTCATCTTGTCTCACAACACGTTAAAATTTTCAAAATACGCCCCCAAATCTAGGTGCTTTGGAAATTTTGTGTCTAATAGGCGGGACATTCCTCCTCTTTTGATTCATTCATGATTTTAAAATTTTGGCTGGATTTCTAGATTCTAAATAAAAATGATACTTCACTGTGTATTTTCTAAAATTTTGTTGTTCTGAATTTTTTACCTATGGCTGATATCATAGGAAGGTAGGTCTGAGATGAACATTATTAGAATTTGGGAGGTCCAGTTTCATACAGGTCATAGTATCCTGGAGGGCGTTTATTTGCCTTCTGGTTTGTGTGTTGAGCTAGGTCATCTGTTTTTAAGATTACTTAGATTCTTATTCATATTTTTGTGTTGTAGATCCCAGTAGATCAATTCAAGCCATCTGATGTAGAAATCCAGGCTTGCTTCCGTCACGAAAACATCGCTGAATTATACGGTGCGGTCCTCTGGGGTGAAACTGTCCATCTCTTTATGGAAGCAGGCGAGGGGGGGTCTGTTTTGGAGAAACTGGAGAGCTGTGGACCAATGAGAGAATTTGAAATTATTTGGGTGACAAAGCATGTTCTCAAAGGACTGGATTTTCTACACTCAAAGAAAGTGATTCACCATGACATTAAACGTGAGTATCTTTGGATAGATCCCTTTTTGGCTTAAAGAGACTGGTCAGGCAGAACACAATGGGCTCCTCCCTGCAACCTGCAGACCCTCGGGGGCAGAGAGGAGAGTTCCCTTAGAGCACCGTCCAGCTTCCCTCTCTGAAATGCAACCTGAGACATGTCATTTATGCAAACCTTCAAAGTCGGCTTTCTGGAAGTCAGATACAGTGAAGACATAGGCAAGAAACCTACTGTGACCTTTAATAGCTAGGGCTAAATTGGACTAGTGCAACTTTTACTGGGAGAAAAAAAAAATGGATATTTTATTTTAACGTTTTAGTAAAGCAGCTTCATTATAGTACGCTTATATCTTAGAATTTAAAACTCAGGCCCTTGGAGCATTGTTAATGGATATGATCATTTATACCCACATTGACTAAATCCTTGACAAATGTGGAGTGATTTTCTTTTTCTTTCTTTTTTTTCTTTTTGCAGTTTATTTTCTGGGAGGGCAGGGCTGGGCTCGAACCCACCACTCTCGGCATATGGGGCTGGCGCCCTACTCCTTGAGCCACGGGCACTGCCCAATGTGGAGTGATTTCTTCTAAACTCTCACCAAAATTCATCCTCCTCTTTTGATTATAACACGCCCCTCTCACGAGGGAAAGAATTTTAATCTTTTCTGATTTGAGATTCATTATTGTTTTGGATGATTTTTTTTTTTTTTT